TGAGTTGTGACATAGGCAGACCATGGACCAGGTCATTCTGAATTAGTTTTTTCAGAAGGGAAAAGCTTGCATGGCCCAGTCTTCTGTGCCATAGTTCAGCATCATCGTCAACCGCTTTCAGACAACTCAGATCACCACTCTGTAAAGATTCGAAATCAACAACATAGATGTTCTTGTATCTTTTGGCCACCAGTACTATTTCTCCGGTCACAAGGTCGGTGACTGTACATATTTTGGACAAGAATTCCACCTTGTTTCCTTTATCACAGATTTGAGAAACACTCAGGAGACTGTACTTAAGCCCATTGACATAGTATACATTTTCAATAGAATGAGTGAGTGACTTCCCAACTTTTCCAACTCCAAGAATGTACCCCTTTTTGCCATTGCCAAATGATACACTCCCTCCTTGCAGGGCTTTTAGTGAAAGAAAGTCTGTGGTGTTCCCAGTCATGTGTTTCGAACATCCACTATCCATGAACCATTGTTGACCGCTTCCTTTCACTGTTCCCTGCACAAGGGATTAGGAGTTAGTTTTAGGAACCCAAACAAGTTTGGGTCCCTTGTAGTAAGCAAGAGGATGAATAAGAGCTCTCTTAGTCCATGTAGGTAATATGCATTTTTTGTAAGCGGAACTTGGTCACTATTTTGTGGTCACAGTTTCAGCAGCCATCAAAGCAAAAGTTGACATTGTCAACTTCCATTTTCATTATAGAATTCATCAAATTTGACATTGTCAAATTCTGTCTCATGATCTGATCTAATGCATACGACTCTAGACTCCATCTTCACATGGATTTTCTTCACAGAGGCCACCAAGACTACAAAAGGCAGTGATTAAAACATCAGCTAAACACATGAGTTTTTTTGGAGAATAGGATTTTAGATTTCTCTGAACATCCCTGAAGTTTACCTCTTTGTTGTCATTGTCTTCATCATCATCTGATTGAGCCATCAAAGCAAAAGTTGAGTTATATCCTATCTCCTCGCCTTCAACTGCCATCATGGAACTATCACCAGTATTAGGTTTATTTTCAGACTGTTTTGCTTGTGTAGTTCCCACATGAGCTGTTTGCAAAGTCTCCCATATTTCCTTTGCAGTGTTAGGGGTAGAGATTCTGTCGTACTCTTTAGGTCCCATTCCACATACCAGAATTTTCTTGGCACGAAAATTCTTCTCCACAGTTTTCTTGTCTGCTTCAGTGTATTCTTTGCTGGTTTTTTCCATTGAAAATGGAAATTCATCTAGTACCTTCATTGGAGCATAAGGACCAACGCAAATGATATCCCATAGCTCACAATCCTCGGCCATGATGAAATCGTGCATTCTATCTTTCCACCACCAATAGCATTTTCCATCAAAGTTGGGGGGTTGGTATATGGATTGACCTTCTTCAAAATTTAGTGGAGCCGCCATGAGGATCCTTCCTAGATGTTAGCCTGATAGGAGGAACCTGCTCTGATACCAATTGTTAGTTTGTATGGGTCCATCAAATCGTAGAGTACCCGGTCCTCTACAAGGTTCTACTAAGAGTACTTAATAAAACAGTATGTAAATGAGGCAGAGGATTTTTACGTGGAAAATCCCACACAAGGGGATCAAAAAACCACGACCTACACCTGTAGGCTTTTAACTTCACTAACTTGTAATCTACCTATTACAAGCCACTTTACAATACTTTCTATTGCAAAGGATTTACTCAACTAACTTGTGGTACCTTTACCACAAGCCACTTTGTGACTATCCTAGTTACAAAGGCTTTTCTAACTTGTGATGCTATCACCACAAGCCACTCTGTAACTCTACGATTACAAAGACTTTTCCTTATGACTAAATCTAGTCACAACATAAACTTAAGGAGTTTACGGATTTACAAGAGGATTCCTAATCAAAATGCTTCTAGGTAAGCAGTTTAGGAGATACAGTAAGTGCAATAACAAGGTTACAACTCTATTAGGACAACAACAATATATCTTTTAGGAACTGGTCCGTAGTAGTGTTCAACCTTGTTCTTCAAGTTTGTGAGGATTGATTTTTCTGTTTTT